GGATCTTGGGGCTTATAGTAGCGATGGCAGGCCATGGGGGATGGGCGAGACGCACGGAGAAGGGGTCGACCGGGGAGAGGGAGGGTCCGAGACGAATTGGATCAGGAGCGACCAGAGAAAGACGAGAAAGCGGTCGAGGAAGTGGAAGACGGGGTGAGTTGCGGAGACCGGCAACGCGAAAACACGACCGGGCTTTGGGAAGCGCGTTGGTGAATCTTGTCCATTGTTGGCTCGACTTTGGACGGTTTGGGGCCCATGGCATCGGGGGTCGTCGAAATGGGTTGTCGAACAGGCCTCTAGTAGGCTCCTCGAGTCTTGACAAGCCCTCGAGTTGTCTGCAGGTTGTGGCGGCAGACGCTGCTGTTTCTCTTGAAGCCAGGATGCGTACGGAGAGACCCCACTAGCTGCTGGGTTCCTAGAAAGATATTCAGGTGGCCATAGTATCGGGACCCTGATAATTTTAAGGTGGTGGAAATAGATGATGCCGGCAGGGGAGGTGGGAGCAATGGGAAATGGAAATATCCGTTAGGAAATAAAATAAGAGGGAGTGAGCAAGCGACAGGACGCGAGACAAGACAAGATGAACGACAACACGAGGCGGGCCAAAAAAAGGGAGGTGCACGCCGTCAGGCCTGACGTTCGGAAATCAAGCGAGCGTCTAGAATGTGGGTTTGATTTCTCCGTTGTTGATACGAAGTTCAAGTAGGTAATATCGAGTACGGAGTACCTAAATACCTTACTATGTAAAAATGGATGGCCTTCTTTCTGTTCGAGACATTGCTCTCATTCTTCACCATGTCTGGGCAAGTACGTCCAAGCTGGAAGGCGCGGTCGCGGTCGAAACGTGCATGGCAGGGCAAGGGGAGGGGAGGTGCAGGCTTCCAAGCTTCCAAGCTTGCAGCGCAGGCGCAGGAGCAGCTGCAGCGCAGGCAAGCAGGTACGGTACGGAGTGAGGTAGGTAGCAGGTACGGATACCTGGGCAAGCGGGCAAGCACATGCTCCGGTCCCAGAAAGTTCCTTCCCCCTTCCACGGGGAGGCAGGGTGACATGAGGAAGGCAGGGCCCAATTCCCCATCCACGCTCCCAAATGACTTTGCCAAATCCCTCACAGTGGAATATTGGCTTGAGTGCTTCTAAGCGGGGCTTTGCTTGTCTGCACGCTTACTAAGATAATATACATTGGGGCACATCTACCTTCAGACCATCACTGAGGTACCGACCTTAGTAAGGTGGCAGGTGGGACACAGATAGAAGGGAGATATTCAGTGGAAGTAAACAAACTACGGCTACCTAGGTACAGTATCTTATGTCATAGATGAGGAATTTATCCAATGTTAGGGCGAATTCCCCCACTACGGGAGACAGCTGCCGAGCCACAGAGAGCATACGCATAAATGCTACTTTCTTTCCAGGTTTCTCTCCAGCTTTCTTGCCTCGGTTTGCGGACCACAAATAATTACATAGTGCTGGATAGCAGGGAGTAGTGTCCAATCTAACACGGCACAACACGACACAACAGACACACACATAGACACACGCATACCTAACATTCGCATACACAAGCACACGCACACACGCACACTCAGAAAAGTAATTAGTGCCGGCCAGAACGCCAAAATCCAAGACAAGCCACAGGCTGGCGGTTTCTGCGACGTCATATCCCAACAGAGGAAAGGCCCGTCAGGAGCCAAGCAGCAAGTGACAAGCGGTGGTCGGAGGGGTGTGTGGCGCCTGTCTAACCCCTTAACCCCTGCCTGTAGCCCGTTTTACACCACGACGTTGGTACGGACTCGCGGAGCGGTAGCTGCAAGTACTTTGCCCATCTTGGGGACTAGGTACGTCTGCGCCTAAGGTAGGTAATCTGGGTCTGGAGTCTGGAGTTTGGCCGCTCACCACCTAACCACCTGTACTCCGTACCATGCCGACGCATCCCACACGCCGAGGGAGCAAGCAATGGGAAGTAATTTCAAGGCGCCAAATCTGTCCGTAAGTACCTTGGGAAAGCACGGTAGGTGCTGGGCAGAAAGTCGTGGGCGGATAATGCAAGTGGCAATGCGAGGGTGGGAATGGGGTCAAGCGGCCAGCCCTGACTTCCGCGAGGCCGCGAGGACCGCGAAATGACCCCTCCCCTATTGAATCCTCAGCGTCTCTCTCCCGCCTCTCTCTTCATGGGGTCTCTTTCCCGCATGTGCATTCTCCTCCACCAAAAATGTACACAGCGTGTGAAGCGTGTGTCGTCTTCCCCACTTGAGCTGGTGCTCTTGCGATTTGCCCGCGCGCTCCGTGCACGCACTGTGGGTCGAACATGGTACAACCAGTGGTCGTAGCTTTTCATCCTCCGCAGTAAAGGGATGCGACCAAAGTGACCCCCCTCGAGCACTCCTTACTCGGGTCGGTAATGTAATTCCTATGTTATCAAGATTGCCTACCAATCTGTACCACATATCTTAAGGTAGAGAAGGGGAAAAAGGGAAGGCGGCGTGACGACTAGTGAATGAACCCCTCAAGGTGTCTACAGAGTAAGGTAGCTGCAGCTGCAACTGATCTGACCTAAGTAGGTAGATTGAGAAGTACCTACTTAGGTATCTTAGGTACCTTGTCCCTGGCATTGACCACTACCATGGCCATGTCGACTGAATGAGGGAATGACAGACGGAAGAGAAGGATCTAGAGTCGGCAATTCGAAGCACAGGATAGAAGCAAGTCTGTGAAGCAATCCAAAAACCAACTGCCTGGTTCTCATTGCCTCCAATAGCCGTTGCTGCGTCATGATATGGCTTTGGCGAGGAAGGAAGGTGCAAGATATGATGCGGTGCTTTCCTTCCCTTCCTGTCCTCGACTAAGGCAGTTCTCATGTCTGAGGTGATACGCTCTCCAACCTAAGGTAAGGTACCTGGGCACTGCAGTACCTTGGCCTACCTGAGGAGGTATCGAAGTATTCAACTTCCAATGTTTTTGATCTCTTGACCTTTAGGTATTTCAACAGACAGGCAATTCTATTCTGCCTCGCAGCAAGTTGGATGTGACCGGTCCGACTTGGTACTGCTCACTGGGTATGCAACCATATTCCTACTCGGAAACTATGGTTGGACCGGCAATCATTGTTCGTCTAGTTACTCCGGCGAGTTGGCTATTGTTGGTGATGCTGATGTGATGGGATGTTCAACTTGTCAAGTGCTGCTGCCCTGCCACGCTTTACTTAATGTTCCCCTCCTCTTAAAGTGCGCCGGGGCCACACCAGACGAGACCACTAAGCCAAACCAGCAATCAGATGGAACTGTCGCAGGAATTGTGCCGCCAAACCTCCACAGACAGGCACAGTGACCACACCTACTACACCAGAACTACCCGCCGCACACCACGCACCGTGCCTCGCCGAACCTCAGCATCACTTCACTTTGCATTGTCCAACTCTCCTCCTCGGTGAAATCATTAAACGCTGAATTGGATCTTGCAGAGTCTGGGAGGAAGAACCGGGACTGCAACCGCGACTGAAGTGGAACCAGCAGGACCGGGACTGAGACTGACTCTGATGCAGTCCTCAGTGAACTGCGGCCTCACTCACTCATACCTTACCTTGCTCTTACTCACTGCCCGCTCCCTGATTCTGAAGAAGTACCTCTGCTTCTTGCTCAGCTTACTTTATTTCTACAAGTCGAAGCGCTCCTCTCATTGCACAGTGTGTGCGATTCTCAAATCGCTGCGGCACGCATCTGCGGATACACGCGCACACACACACTCTGGCTTCCTCTCCCCTCGCTGTATTCGCAGACGAGTGAGTCCTCGACACCACCACGCTTTCACTCGACTGGCTCTCGATTCATAAGGTACGGAAACATGGACCTGTCCCTACCTTACCTCTACCTGACCTCGCCTTACCTTGCCTTGCCTTACCTTACTTTTCCGATATTGGCCTTGCCGCTTCAGGAACCTCATCTCACCCTGCTCTCCTCAATCATCGCCCAGCCAGAGGCAAGGTACCTTCTCACTTACCTAAGAAAAGTACCCCCCAAACACACCCAGTGCCGCACTCTGATTTTCGCGTAAAGAGTACTTGCACCACTCGCTGCTAAGGTACCCTCTCCCCACCCCCGGTACCTTCCCTGGATTGAGGTACCTTCCCTTCCTTGCACCCCCAAACGAAACGCTCCCCTTCACACTTTCCTTCGCTCTTGCTCTTCCGGGACATCATTCACTTCTCTCACTCCTCTGAGAATTGTCCTTCTTGTCTCTATCCTCCTTTACCTCACTGTCTCCTGTCTGTTGCTGGTTATTTTGCTCCTTTGTTGCTTACCAGATTCACAGACCTTCAACATCACAATTCCTCGCAGAATCCCGTGGCAGCAACTACACGCAGTGCGCACCACCCCCTTAGACCCTTCCTCCCCCCAGCGTTATTTCGCGGTCCACCGCCCGAGGGCCCCCCGAGTCCTGTCGCTTTTGGGCCAACGTCCCCGATCTAAACTCCACACCCTTTCCTTTCGCCTCCTGCCGTCGACGACATTCTCTCTCTTCCCCCCAAGAGCACCACCTCCACGACACGACCACACGCAGAGAGGAGTGTGCTCTCTACCTCAGCAATCCCTCCTTGCACCGACTACACCAGACCGAGTCTGCGAAACTTCATGAATACTTTCGGCTCGTTCGCGTTCCTCTAGCAGCCCTTTACTTGCCTTAGCAGCGGCTATCACAAAAACCCCGACCCTCTTTCCCTCCCAAATTCCCTCTCCGTCTGCGCCAAAGACTCAATTTTGAGAGAAAAAAGAAGGAGACTCGACCACTCTGAACAGCGCTCGCCTCCCACTCGACCGCGCCCAATTCAGCCCTTATACTACCCTTTCGATACTCTTGATACCCTCTGCATACTCGACTCTGCTCTACCCGCGACGAATAGGCTCCTGCTGCCAGATCTTCAACGATCTCCCTCTCTCGTCGCCCTGCGCTCGCGCCCGACTCATTCCGCTCGTCCTCGTCACGGAAGCTGAGCCAGGACTCGCTCCATGGAAAGTCGAGCTGCCACAACTGAATCCAAGCATACATATCCAACGTCTCCTTGGATCCAAGCCCCCACGATATCATCGTCTACTTCGGGTTCCTACTTCGGCGACGCTTCCTCTCGCGTTCCGGCCCAGCTAGACTTCTGGCCCTTGCTCTTTCCGCAACAAGCCTCAGTCTACCAAGCGCAGTTGCTACACTACACCAATCTCGTCTCACCGGGACGAGGAGGCGGCTTGCACCAACCTCAAGCGCTTCCTCAGGCGACGGTGGCTACCCCTCAGATCCAGGCGGCCCCTCGGTCCAGATCAACCTCCAAGGTCTCAAACAAGGAAATCTCCGCAACCAAGGGTTCCCAAGGAGGCCATGGGAATAGAGCCGTGCAGACTAAAGACAAAGGCGATCGCGCTGTCATAACAGGCAAGGACGCTCCGTCCAAGATGCAGCAGTCATCGCAGCAACAACCGGAGCTTTCACATCCACTCCCTGCACGCCCTGCAGCCAGGGCCGGCAATGGACAGTCTCATTCCAACTCCATGCCCTCGACTCCCCAACAACATGCTAGAAACTTCTCGTTCGAGTCGCGGGAACCTTCGCCAACCGCCACAAACAATCACTCTCCTCGCTCTGCCTACTCAGAGACCAACAGCAACCTTCCCTCATTACGACCCCTCCCTCCCCGGCTTGGCGGCTGCAAATATGAGACTTCTCAGATCAATTCGAAGAGGCGTATGCCCTACAGCATAGGAAGCGACAAGCTGGATAAGACCAGCCTCGACAAGATCAAGAGCAAGCTGTCGGAAGATGTAGAGACGAAGCTGACCACAGATATGCGGGAGTTGTACGACAGGTTACGACCGACTGACAAAGTTGAAGAAAACCGTCAAAAGCTCGTCGTCAAGCTGGAGAAGATGTTTAACGAGGAATGGCCTGGAAATGACATTCGCGTGCATCTCTTTGGCTCCTCAGGCAACTTACTTTGCTCGGACGACGCTGATGGTTCGTGGGCTCTCTTAACACTGGGCTGGCGCTTGGGGATGCAGTGCTAACTGTCTCCATAGTTGATATCTGCATTACAACGCCTTGGAAGGACTTGGAGTATGTCTGCACGATTGCAGCATTGCTTGCGAAGAGTACGTAAACCATTTCTTGCACAGGAATCTAACAACAAGACTTCTGACATGAACTACTACAGAGGGCATGGAAAAGGTCGTCTGCATCTCAGGCGCCAAAGTTCCCATCGTCAAGATCTGGGACCCCGAGCTCGGCCTCGCTTGCGACATGAATGTGAACAATACTCTGGCGTTGGAGAACACGAGAATGGTCCGAACATACGTCGAGATCGATCCTCGAGTGCGGCCCTTGGCCATGGTTATCAAGTACTGGACACGGCAGAGGATTGTAAACGATGCTGGTATGGGTTAAATACCCCCTTGACTCTTCGCACATTTTACTGATCGGAACAGCGTTTGGAGGTACTCTCAGTTCTTACACGTGGATCTGCCTCATTATTGGATTTCTCCAGCTTCGCGACCCGCCAGTGCTTCCCTCCCTTCACCAGCGCCAGCATCAGCGGCTCCCTAAGAATGGCGGGCCCGAGAGCGCATTCGCTGATGACTTGGAAAAACTGAGCGGATTCGGCGCGAAGAATGAGGCGTCTTTGGGTGAGCTCTTGTTCCAGTTCTTCCGCTTCTACGCACACGAGTTCGACTACGATAAGTACGTTATATCGATTCGTCTTGGACGGAAGGCAACGCGAATGGAAAAGGGATGGCACATTGGCATAAATAACCATTTGTGTGTGGAGGAGCCATTCAACACCGCTCGCAACCTGGGCAACACTGCGGATGAGTACTCGTTCCGTGGACTTCATCTGGAGTTACGACGAGCGTTTGACCTCATCTCAGAAGGGAAACTGGGTGAATGCTGCGAACAATACGTATACCCCAAAGAAGAGACACCGGTGTTCCAGCGCCCTCCAAATACTTCGAGGCCGGTCATGATCCGCAGCTCTTCTCAGCAGCACTCCGGTAGAGGCCGTGGAAACTTCCGTGGAGGTCGACACTCGAACAACTTCCAGCGGAATGCAAACTCGAACAGGAGAGCTTCGTCCAGCGTCGCTTACGACACCAACACCATGTACATGCCCCCAGTGGCTATGACTCCCCAGGATCTTGCGTGGTACGCGCAACAGGCACAGTCCCACCAGCAATATCCCGCGCTTGTAGGTGCAGCCATGGCCGCCCAGGTTCAGCAAGAAAATAACATTCGGTTCCAGCTCTATACTCAATCCCAGGTTTATCAGCAAGTCCAGGCTCAGATGGCTGCCCAAATGCACGCTGCTCAGAGGATGCAGGGGTCCTCTTCAGCTACGCAGCAGGGTCCAGAACGGTCCAGGACCAACTCCTTTGACAATCCGCCCCTGAGTGCCCCCATCGCTGGCCCTCAAGATTGGTACAGCATGTACGGAGTACCCATGGCGGCGTATTACGGCCAGTCCAGCTTCGCCTATCCCTCTTCGCCGGCGACAGTGGCGACTAGCACGCCAGAATATCGAAGAGGCCTTCAAAGATCGTCAGCAACAACAGAGTCGGGCGCCTCGACTTCCGGAAGCTCACTAAGGTCGCAGTCACAGCCTGCCTCCCGCTCTGCTCCTACAGCACAGCACAATCAGGCTTATACAGGAAACAGCGCGTCGGTTAATACCAATTTAAATCCCACTCGGCAAGTGAACGGAATCCCGGTCTCGAACGGCGTTCCAAGCGACGTCGAGTACGACGAAGCCTCCCAGGCCCCAGCGAGCGATTCGCCTGCCTCTGACGAAGGAGCTTATTTGGGTTACTACGTTTCAGATGCCTCCAGTCCGGCGCACTCCCAAGTAGCGCCCAACGCCATAGCCTTTGCGGACACGACCCAGCCAGCCCAGGGACGGCGTAGGTTGTCAACCGAGGTTCCGCAGACTATCCTGGACCGCAGAATGCGAAGAACATCTCGTTCACCGTCTCCCCTTGGCCATGCCCGGGCGTTCTCTAGCGGAGGTAGCTCGGTAGCATCCGCTCCGGTGGTTGCGTCTGGCAGTACGAACGGTCCTCGAGCAGCCTCGCGGCCTTTGATAGTCAACGGCACTGGATCATCTCTTCGCACGAGTTCGACGCCATCGCAACGTCACAATCCTGCCGTGGTTTCAACGGAATCAAACCCAACTGACGATCAAGGCCGCTCGTCTCAGGAAAACACGCTGCAAGTTCAAGGTCTCGGCATCACCGGATACACCTCAGATCAGTTGGATGGCCAGGCTTTTCCAAGGTCTGAATCAGCTCAGATTCCCGTGTCTGAGCGGACTCCGGTGATTGTTAACGGTACTACCACGCCATCGTCGACCACCAATGCGACTGCCTCGGCTTCACCAGCTTCTGTTTCTGCACCCCAGCAGCCTGCGTCCCAGGCGATCGACGACGCTTCATTCCGTGACAGGATTGCACTCATGTCGATGAATCAGTATGCTTGGTCACCGCAAGCTCAAGTGCAATCGCAACCATATCCAGACGTCGCAAATGGCATGCAGCCATCCCTTCGCCAGAGAGCGCTATCGAGACAGCAAAGTGGAGTAATAGCGCCACTTGATCTCGCAACTCGAGAAAATAGGATGAATGGCCACCAGTTGAGCATTGACGCACAGCACCTGTCGCCAATCAACGAGACCAGATCTCCTTCACCGACAGTTGTGAGAAAGAATGACTTTGCATCAAGAGTTGATCAGCTTCCGCCAGCTTCCCAAAGCTCAGCACCCAAGGCTCACGCCGAGCCTTCTGGCTCAGGACACCGACCGAACGACACCAAGGGCTCGGCTGGAAAGGAATCCAAGCAAGGGCATGCATCTACTCATTCGCCGAAGCGATCCTCGACGGCCAACCAGCGCTCATCCCAAGCGACAGCACAGGCTCAGGCGCAGTCACACAGCTCCGGTCAGGCTCAGGTCCATTCTCCAAGGGTTAATGGCGTTCGAGAGAATGGCCATACACGCAGTGCCAAAAGCGAAAGCCACGGCCCTGAGAGCTCATGGCAGAAGGCCACAAAGGGCCGCAAAAAGGGTGCTGACACGAAGAATCACGGCGGATCTGCCTCTAGCGAGCAGCCACCCAAGCACGACGCAGACCGGAAGGGCGGCTAAGGGCATGAGAAACACGTCGCAATTGCACACGACTGCGGTTATCACTGCACGGCAGAAAGCTACTCGTGCTTTCTTGGATAGGGCACAGGCGAGACGAGTGGCCTCTGCAGAAGCGGATGGGCTACCCTATTGCAAACTTTGGCAACGCACAAGTATTGGACACTCTGCTTCTGGATTAGAGCAATGAGTTTGGTCATTAGTCGTAGCAGGCATTCTGCAATGCCCTCGCGGCCTGGAGGTGGTGAGCGGGGCCTCGGGAATCGAGTTAGTACGGCGACGAACACCGTTCACCAGGTAGACTTATAGTGGTCAAGTCCTGTTCGATGGTGGCCACCACAACTGGTCAAAGCAAACAAACATCAGATCAGCAAATGGGCATGAGGATCTGCAGACAGCAACACGTTGAAGAATTGCACGGGGAGGAATGCCAGTTCAGCAAGACGGTATTGGCTCAAACATGGAAATTGGAGAGAGCATTGCTATGCCTCAATCGTCTTTTTGTTCGTTCCCCCCTATCGAGGCTCTCCAAAGGGGGAACACTGTTGCGTTATATTGGGCGGCAGGGTTTATTATTTGTCTCATTGCATCTGCAGCAACGGTCTTCGAAATGGGTCACGGTTAGGCATGCGTCATCAAGTTTCCTTTTGTCAACAAAGTCATACCATGGGGGATAGGGTACATGGAGAGGAAGCAAGACGGTGTGTGGATGATAACGGAACAAGGGCTGTATTTAGGACGGCTTCGATTGTCATGAAATACCCGGCAGGGAATGGTTGGGCATCTGTCTCTGAAGAGAGATGACAGAGGAAGCCAGCATGACCGCATCAAAGGAAAGGAGTGGAAAAAAGACATCAATGATCAGTGTCAATGTAAGCAGATAGACGGGAAGCGTTTAAAAAAAAGGCCATTATTTCATAGCACTTTGCAGGAGTACGTGCGGATGACGTTCCTTGATGTGAAGATCAGGCCGCCAGTCAGTCAGTCAGTCTCAGGGATGATTGCAAGTGATGAACTTTGTCTGACTCTGTACAGCCATTTTCAGATGCCATTTGAAGCCATCGCCATTTGAGGTGTTGTCAGATAAGTTGTGCAACCCAGGATAAGGGTCTCGGGAAGCGACGCAAGATTACGTCATCGGGATGCAGTGGTTTGAACCCCGCAATCAGCCTTATTTCAGGTGGCCGGTGCTCTCCAAAGAGTCCCAGGGCAATGACAATGCCACCGCGGCCCCTGCTAAGCAGGCAAACCGCAAAAGGCAAAATTCCCAACGTGGCCTGGCTGGCCGGCTGGCCCCCAAAACGTCCTCGTATTTTGCCCCCTCCTAAGGTATCCCTTGTTCCCAAGGATGCAGCTGCTTATTTCCCTCGCCCAGGCAGAAGCCATCCATCTGTGGACCCATGAAACGCAGTTTGAAGACCCTCCCGTTTCGCTGCCATTTTGATTGTTTCCGAGAACCGGAAAGCAGTCCGTCCCGTGTCTGTCTCCCAAGTATACGGATACTTTACTAGGTACACTGAGCGACAACAATATCACCATTAGACTGCGAGTTCCTTTGATTCTGTCATCCCCCTCACCAAAGGTCGCTGGATGTTTGGGAAATGAGTGATCCCTGCGTTTTCGCGTATCCTTGGTTCGGACCGCCGTCCCCCTGCCGCCGCCACATCGCATCGCATCTGGGTTGCAGCAGCTTGGGATTGAGTGATGGTTCGCCAACGCAGCCGGAGCGATGTTGCCTCGCCCACGTCTCCCAAGATTAGGCGGTTGAGCAATGCGCTACGCAAGATATCGAGCATCAGCTCGGCAAAGGACGATGGTAGTAGGTCTAGCAGTACGGTGAGTTTTTGGAAATCTCCACAAACCCCTCGGGGGGGGAAAGTTCCCACACTACTGCACGTTCACTTTCTCCTCCTTCTCCTTTCTTTCTCAACCACTGAACCCACCGGTTCACTGCACCGCTCCCTCTGTGACGTTTTGCAATGGCGATGAGACGCTCGAGCTGTCGGACGCCGCTTACACTACATGAACAGAGACTTGGCGATTTTGAGTTTGGCGGCGGGGATCCGATTGACCGGGGACCTGTTTCGTCCCGTGGGTCCAGCTCCGCCGGCGGGGGCTACGGCAGCGGCACCGTGAATGAGTCGGACGTCCAACTTCGTCAGATTCAACAGTTGACGCAACGCGTCGGCTCGACGCTCGCGAGCAAGGACGCCGATGCCGCGTACAAGGAATACGCCAAAGTCAAGGATCATGTAGCCTTGTGTCGGGCCCTGTTGCGCAAGTCCACACCCGCGACCGGGCCGCCGGGGCAGGCGACCGGAGCGGCAACGGCGGCGTGGGCGGAGGGAGGTCGGGGACCGTCACGGGAGTCGTCGCTTGAGGTGCCGCAGAGCCCTGCGTCGATATTGACTCGGTCTTCGTTCAGCGGGAGGAGTCTCTCGGAAGTGACGACCGGCCAGAGCGCAGGTTCACGTCCGATGCGTGAGATTTGCCTGTCTGCCGTCCGCGACTGGAAGGGGTGCATCGGGTCGCTGGTGGAAGCGCTCGAGCTCTCGCTGTCAGAGACATATCGAAGTTACGAGCCCGATGCCACGCCGAGCATGGTGAAGTCGCTCTTCCAGGATAGAGTCTTCCGCGCCGCCGCGATCCAGCAGATGAGGAGGGCGAGCATCATCAAGACGTTCTCACCCAGTCCGGACTTTTTTCCGCTCTACGACATACGCTTCAGGAACCATGATCGGGTGAAGCAGGATCTCGTCGAGGTGACGCGGGTTCTGCAACTGGGCGAATCGGGCGTCACGGACGAGAGGCCGGTGAAGGAGCTCGCCGTCGCGCCGCGCGGGGACGCCGTTCTCGAGTTTGCGAATATTGGCGCCGAAAACGGGGCGGAAGCGGAAGCGGAAGCGCTGCCCGTGCTGCGGTACCGCGTCTCGTCGTTTTTGCTGGCCGAGACGTCGCCCGTCTTTGAGAGGATGTTCACCGAGCACGCGCACATTGAGGTCCACGACGACGAGGACCTGACGGACCAGCTCGCGCCGCCGCCGACGGCGTATATCTGCCCCGACGGCACCGAAGCGAAGCTCTACCGCATGCCGCAGCGCGAAGGCGACCGCGAGCAGGCGCTCACGATCCTCCTGCACGCGGCGCACATGCACAACGATAAAGTGCCGCGCGAGGTGACTTTCGAGCAGCTGGTCGCCATCGCGGAGGTGTGCCTGCGGTACCGGTGCACGTCGCCGCTGGAGCTGTTTGTCGAGCACCGCTGGCTGCCGCAGTGGATTCACCGGGGCAGCGAGGCGATGCCGCGGGGTTGGTTGCTGATTAGCTATGCTTTTGGGTTCCGGCAGCTGTTCACGCGCATGTCCAAGACGGTGATTTTGAATCTTGTGGACGAGGACGAGTTGGAGGGGATGCACGTGGCGTGGCCGAGGAGGATTAGGGAGAAGATTTGGGGGGTGAGGGGGGCGAAGATGGCGCAGGTTGAGGAGTGTTGCGTGAGTACGATTCGGGAGTATCTGAGGCCGCCTTGTCGTGCTGTTCCGCCACCGGGCTCGGATTCGTCTTCCGTTGAGGTAGCGTCCACGCCCGCGACGAATACGTCTGCCAACCCGGCCTTGATGTTCACCAGCACGCCCAGGTGTCCCAAGGGAAGTCACAGCTGCGACGCGACGAATCTAGGCTGGCTGATGCTCGTTTACGGCGAGCTGGAGCTTCTGCCCACCATCATGAACTCGTCGGTTCTCGGACACCTGGCAGCTGGCTCCCAGCAGCAGCAATACTCGCCACCTCGTCGAAGTCTGGCACAGCTCGTCGATCTGTTGCGGACCATTGCCAGTCCGCCGCTGGCGGTTCACAGGGGCGGGGTATGCGATCCCGCGCCGGCGTTTCGCGCGGCGATTAATGATATTTACAATAGCGTGTCTGGATTGACGTTGCATGATGTCAGTGGACGGGCTCACGGGTGGGGGCTATCGCAGCACCGGTCTACGCAGCCGCAGGCTGTTTTACATAGGGGGTTGAGGAGTTTTTCCGACGGGAAGAAGGTTGATCTGCAGCTTGAGCAGCAGGGAATCCAGGAGCTGCTGGAACAGGAACGGGGGCAAAAGCAGGACCAGGAACAGGGCAAGGTCCTCGAGAGGTCTGACGCGGTACGGTTGTTGATTTTGGAGAGGTGCGTGGAGAGTGTGGAGGACCTGCGCGCAGCGGCGATGGTGGATCGGAGATTTTACGAGACGTTTCGGGAGAACGAGGGGGTCTTGATGGGGCGGTTCGTCGGGGACGCGAGGTTGAGGACGTTGATGAAGTTGACTTCTATGGATGTCGTCGCGGCGGGGGAGAATAAGGTGCCCAAGGGGGATGCTGACGCTATGAAGGCGGGGGCGGAGGCCGTTCAACATGTTGTCTCTGACGATGGTTTGGATGGCCGGCTGGTTCGAACGCAGGATGAGACTGTTACGGATGTATTGTTGGCGGTTCCTTCGTCGCCTGGACCTGGGCGTGGGGGAGGCGGCGGCGGCGGCGGCGACGTTTCTGCGTTTGATGAGAGCTCAGAGGACGAGGGCGAGGTGTTGAGCGAGGATGAGGCGAGGCGGATATTGTGGCCGCCTGAGGTGATGGTCTCGCCTGCCCAGGAGACGTCGTCTTCTTCGCCAAGGCGGCTGCAGTTAGAGCCTTTAGAGCCCGGGTCCGGGTCTGATATAATGACGGAGAAAGGGGTGATGAGGGAAAAGTTCCGGACTAGTGACGCCGCGTTTGTGGAGGAGAAGATGTTGTTGGAGGGAGAGGACAAGCATCTGAGGGACGAGCGGGATAGGAGGATTGGTCTTTTGCCAGGGGATGGGTGAGTGGCTTTCCATCGTGGGTACTGGGTTTGAAGCAGGGATACTGGTATGTGCATTAAGCGTGGAGTTTCTTCATCTGATTACGGTAATATTTCAGTCTCATCCTGGGAAAATCATCTTAGCAAATGGAATTGCAGAGATAGGAAGTGGCTTAGGACGAAGCTTACGAGAGGTAGAAAAAGGCAGCTCATACGGATAGAATCCCCCTTTTTCCACCAAGATGCCTTTCTAGTCGGGATAGTAGACGATCGTCTGCCCGCCGGTTCCAGGATGGTGATAGGTTCTCTCGAGACAAAGTTGGAATTCCCGCAACTGTTCCTCACTTTCTGACTGTGGTATTTTCCAGATGGGAGGTTGCGTCGCCTGACCAGCTGTTATTCCGTTTACAATAAGGTTGACCATGGAAGGCCTAGAAGCTCAGATGGATGGTACCCCTCAATTCTTGGTGCCATTTACTCCCCTTACCCTTTTTCAAAGTCTTTGTGTTGTACCGCACTGGCAAAAGTATTTCTGGCTTTGTTTCTTCGGACTTCGTGTTGTTTTCACATTCTCACGACATATCAGGGGCCATCGAATTTCACAATGATGTCTCCGAAGGCAAAAATTTCGCGGACGGCGAGCGCGCCCCGCTGCGCAAGACAACCTAACCTCTCAGACAGCCCCGCTTTCTCGAAGATCGTGGCGGACATAGCTCAGTTGGGAGAGCGTCAGACTGAAGTCAACTTCAATCACTTAATCTGAAGGTCGTGTGTTCAATCCACACTGGCCGCATCTTCTATTTTGTCCTCGTTAGGACTGCGTTCTTTTTGACCCTTTTACCACGGGTACTCGCTTCTGAAGTGATTTTGATCGTCACGCATGGTCTCAATGTGATTGAAGTCTACCTGAGCGAACAGCACCACCAGACTTTTTTTGCTTGGACAAACACTTGAGTCGAAGCCCTAATAGTCTCGATGACACGCCAATTGATCCAGCACAGATGATGGTGTTTGGTAATCATAAATAACATTCATAAGGTATCTTTTCCTATATCTAGGTTACTTCAAGCTGCTCTGCCATCTCATCAATCACAAGCTTATGAGCAATGCTCGTGGCTCTTTTCCCATCCGCGATCCCCCTTCTTCCTCAAACCTCAACGAAGAGAAGTCAGGCTCAGGCGTGCGGCCAGTTCCTGTTGAGAACGACACAGCTCCCGTTCGCCGACGACGCGATATCCTTATCCGTCAAGAAGACGCAGTACTTTGCCACAGCAGCCGGGTCCAGCCCCGTTTCGCCGCGCTTGTACTCGGGCATGCCCGCCGTGACCTTGGCCATGCCGGCCTGGTTAACACCCTCGGCGAAGGCGTCCATGATGTTGGTGGTGTCCATGCCGCCGAGCAGCAGTGCGACCGAGTAGATGCCCTTGTCGCCGTAGAAGCCCGCCGTGTTCTTGGTGACGGCCATGACGCCGTGCTTGGACGCCGTGTAGGCGATGCCGGAAGCGAGGCCGCGGTAGCTGGCGTTGGAGCCGATATTGACAATCAGGCCCGCGGGCCCGCCGCTGCCGCTGGCGCCGCCCTGGGCGAGGAACTGGTTGACGGCGTACTTTGTCGTCAGGAAGGGACCCGTGAGGTTGATGGCGAGGACGCGGTCCCAGGTCTCCTTTGTGCAGTCGCCGGCGGGGTCGAACTTGTCCATGACGCCGGCGTTGTTGACGACGACGTCGAGGCGGCCGAAGCGTTCTACGGTGCCCTTGATGAGGGACTGGACGGAGTCTTCGGAGGTGACGTCGACGACGATGCCGTGGAGCTTGCCGGCGTAGGTGTCGCGGTATTCCGAGGTGACGGCGGCGACGCGGTCCTCGTTGATGTCGGAGATCACGACGTTGGCGCCGGCGACGAGGTAGGCTTCGGCGATGGCTTTGCCTAGGCCGCCGCCGGAGCCGGTGACGATTACGGTCGTGCCGGGCAGGCGGGTCGCCATTGTGTGTGAGATGTGTGTGATTGTGTGACGGGTGTCTGTGTGAGAGGAGGGGCTTGGCCCGAGTGCGGATAGATTGCGGGATGAGACCTTGAAGGTTTGGTTCTGCTGGTTTGACTTTGGCAAAAGTTTTAAGCTTAGATAAGATTGATAAAGTGGTGAGGTCGATTGCGTGATTGAGTCGTGAGTCGTGAGTGAGTTGTGAGTGAGAGTGAGAGTGAGTGAGGATGTCTTAGAGGCTCTTGATTTCTAATGAGTGAGAGCTCCTCCACGTGCGTCATTGAAGGTCGCCGCCGTGGGCCATTTATGTATGTAGAGCTCTGCATCGTCAGACGGGAAGGAGGGGCAGTTGCGGGGCGATCCTTGGTGGGGGAAAGTAGAAAACAGACGTCTCGATTGGGCACTGACCTTGGCGCCGTTGACGTGCCCGTGGATCGCTCCAGGGCGCTTTCTCTTCTTACCCCTGGGACTTTGAGGTGTGCCATCGTATTCGGTTTGGGACCGTACATCTATTCGTAAGACTGCATAAGAATTTAGCTTGTCTTGTTTTTCTTGTCATATTCTCTTGCTTATGGTTGGACTACCTACCCCATCTCATAGAAGCTTCCCTGCGAAATCTTCATGGGAATCCCCCCCGCTTCCCGGTTCGCTTCCACCCCACTACTTATGGTTCAGAAGGTCCGGGTATCTGGCCTGGGATCATCCCGTGCGGCACGGTTCACTGACCCTGACTTGCTGCATATGTCGCTGTGCTTATCATGAGGATGGATTCTTCATTGCCATGTGCTTTTAGGGGACTTTTGGTAGAATCCACGCTCGATGCAGGGTAGGTCACAGTCGACAATGCCCCTCTTGAGCTAAGTATCAATGTCTAAGGAACCTCATTGTCTTATCGTCTACTCTAGGTAGACAATTTCCTAAGCGATGCTCAATGCTGGTCATGGATGACGGCCTTTGGCTGCAGATCACAGCTCTGCGCTGGAGCCATGAGGTTGTAGCGCATTTGAATCATGAGTGCACGATGGTTGCAAGTCGATGCGAATACGGAGGATTGCCTCTGTTCACATCTCGTATTCGGGTTTCCCATCACAGATTCGCGGTGTATCTGCAACTACACGAGCCCGTCACTTTGTTGATTTGTCGTTCTGGCTCTTTGCCTGCTTGATGGGACGAACGCACCCTTTGCGAGCCTTGGTGGTTGATGATTGGGTGTGTTGATCGCGTTGGTGCCGATCCGGGGCCAATGCAGGTAGTCACCTTGGTCAGTGACCAGGTCTTTATTATGGATGGACAGTATGTATGACTGTCTGGGTGATCATGTGAGGAGATGCCAACTTGATACCATAGTTTGGAGCACCACTTCCACAGAGTCCATACCATACTTCATCCGGCAGAGAGATCAGAGTCAGTTCGATTTTTGAGGTTGGCCGTCAGATATGCAAGCAGAAAACGTCATACACACCCGTCCGTATCGTAATGAGAAATGCAAAATGACTTCTACTTTTTGTGCTAGAGATGGTGTGACAAGAGGCAAGGCATTCATCTCATTTTTCTAAAGTACTTACACCCTCGTCACTGTTGGTATAGACGCATCCTTTTTCTTTTTCTTCTTCTTGTCCGTAATCCCCTCATCACCACAAATATCCTCCCATTGATCGAGTGCCGCCCAAGACGAAGGAGACTGCGAGGACCTACCGAACTCAGGAATCACCTTGAAAAGACACTTACCAAAGAACCCCTTCACCTTCCCAGCCACGCTTTTTGGCTCCTTCTCAGCCGGTAAATTGAGGACACTGGTGTTCTGCCAAGGGCTCGTCGATCGGGTTTGGTCCAAACAGTGCGACAGCGAGCGAGTGCCCAGACTGCTCTCTGATCGCTGGTGGCAGGGCATATCCAACCCCTTTGTGATATCTAATGAGTCCCAGTAACACACCGGGCACTGGTTGATTCTTGGCTTCTTGTCGAGGTACACCCTTCCTTGGTCTGGACAGTATGCCTTTGCGTGTCCGAAGGTTTCGGGCAGTGTCCACGTTCTCTCGTGGCATATGGTGGGGATCTCTTCTTTGGAGATGATGCCGTAGCAGGTTCTGCACTGGTCGACGATTTGTTTGATGCCGCACATGGTTTCTGTTTAGCTGGGGTTGTTATGATAACAAGTGGTGTAGTGCACGTTATCACGCTGCGGGTTGGTTTTAATGGTTTGAGATGTAGAGTGATATCTCAGTGAGCAAGAAAAAAGGCATTATATAGACCAAAGGATGCGTACCTAAGACAAGACCATTGTTGCTGAATCACTTCCATTGTTTAGTTACCACATGTTATGAATGTTCGACTGATCTACCCATGTTCCTTTGGTTGAAAGGCCTTTGATCATCAAAGCCGCTCATCTGGACAATGCAGGCAAAGACAATGGAGTGCAAGAATTCGATCCTGCATACCGGCAAAGAAGCGGTCCTTTCCAACAATTTGTGGCTACATGCAATCCAATAGATTCCTGTTCCCCCAATCGAAGCTATCGGCGGAGTGGATGAGCAGTCTGAGATTGACCACATCCGGTAACTTCAGCTTGCCAATTGCCGGTGGCTTATCTTCTTTCAATAAGAATTGAGCTCCATCAGTCGCGAGTATCGCGGTATTTGGGACGATATCATACTAAGTCCTTTCGTCCCGAATGAATGATACCGTCCTCGGTGAGTAGCGGGTAAAGGCATACGTGACTGGGAAAAACGGACCAGACGATGAGTAGTTTTCGTGGGCAGCGAATGGACAAATAGTTTTACTATTCTCAGTCCTGAGTATGCGCTTTTACTTATCCGTCACATCGATCACCAATGTCCTGAATTGAATCTATCGCTGATTGTGCCAGGGCAGACCTGAAATTTCAGGCGGGTGGCGCGGAATCCTCGGGCACCGCTGCCTCGTAGACACTGAGGCACCAAAAAACGTCAAGATTTTATCAACGCGCGCTACGGGTTTTAACTTGGTATCTAGAAACCACGTGCGCATCAGGGGGGGAGAAGTAATTAAACAAAAATGCATCGCAATCGAAACTTCTCATGAAACAAGAAGCCCTTCATTGCTCTGTAGCATTTGGTGGCCAAAATGTCGTCTGCCATCGGGATGGAGGCGGTCGTCGCGGTTAGTCCATCCCGCAATCAGCCATTTTGAGAACCTTCAGAAGCTCTCCATCACAGGACTTCACTAACAGAAACTTGCAGGCCGCAGCGGGAGCCACATTGAGTGTAGACTTTCTCATTCATCCCATGGACACGCTCATCACGCGGATGCAATCGCCAATGTACACAACGCAGTACAAATCCGTCAACGGCGCCGTCAGCCGGACGCTCTTCCTCGGGCTGTACCAGGGGTTCGGCCCCACCATCATCACCAGCATACCGTCGTCGGCGGCCTTCTTCACGATTTACGAGGGGCTCAAGGGTTACTCGCTGCGCGCCAAAGAGGAGGGCCGTTTTGCTGGCGTGCCGTTGCCTGTCTTGTACGGGGCGAGCGGCGCGGCGGCGAGTCTTGTTAGCTGTGCTATTACGAATCCTGCAGAGGTGTTGAAGCAGAATGCGCAGGTGTATCGGAGAGGTTCTCCTCAGTTAATGGGAGGGGGCAGCGGTACGTCTCCGACGATGAACACGTTGAGGCGTTTCGCGAAGCAGCCGACCAAGTTGTGGGCTGGGTATACGGCACTTGTGGCAAGCGATTTGCCCAATACCACGTTGACGTTTTGTCTTTACGAGACTCTCAAGGAACGCTTCCTCGGAGGGGAGGGGAAGGCTCAGGACAGGAGTGCGTCGCAGCAGGTTCTCGCGAGTGGGCTGTGCGCTGCTGCTGCCGGCAGCGCGTCGTCGAGTTTGTTTGTGCCTATCGATGTCGTCAAGACGAGGATGAGGCTCGCGGCTGGCGGAGACGTGACTGGCGAGAACGGTTCGTCAAAGATGTCGAGCAGTTCTCCTCGTGCAAAGATTGGTCCGATTGCGGTGGCCAGGGGGATTGTCCTGAAAGAAGGTGTTCGAGGGTTGTTTAGAGGGGCCACGGTAACGGTTTTGGCGGCGGGTTTTGGGGGTGGGTTGTATATTGGCTGTTACGAGGCCATCAAGATTTATCTGAGCTAGAAAGGCTTTCAGATTGTACACTATGTAGAACAAAACTCACTTAGACGACGGGGACGCAAGTCTTGTAATACCACTCTTCTCGAATCGGCATATTTGAAAGCATCCAGATTGTGCGTATTAGAAGCACCCCTGACTGCAGCTCAACGAGATTAACATGAGAATACTGCCAGTGTCGAGTGAGCGGCCGAAGAAAGGCGGGATGATGTCTGGAAACCAACGTCTTCCATCATCTGAATATACACGGGAAGTCCCATTTGGGTCCCCTCAATTCCACTCCTCTCACCAGCCAGAAAGCGTCCGTCTAGGTTGACTGGTCAGGACAAACCGGCTGGATGGTGGGATGGTTTATGGTCAACACTCAATAAATACGCCAACCAGCTGCTCGACGACAGACTCAGCGCATATAAGTATGCGAGGTCGAATCCCGACATGAGCGCCAATATTTCTCAGCATGAGCACCAAGAGATGTAGCCACACCGGTGGTGAGCTCTTTCTTTTCTTCCAATCCACATCTATATTCAACACTGTTGGCATTTCAGGATCACTATGTGAGAGCTGCGATACGATATACAGAAACCTCCTCCATTAACTAACCGCCTGGCTACTCGCAATAATAGTAACGCCGCCTGCTTTTAGGCATCGGCAGCGGCCTGGCCACACTGACCCGCGACAACCTTGACGTCGCCATTGACATCGCACTGGCCGTCTGCTTGGCAAGCGCCTGCACCAGTTCCATCGGTGCAAGCCAGGCCAACAAAGTCGGCCGCCGCGTCGGCGTCCGCTGCTTGATCGGCGTTGTCGTCGGCGTTCGCATTGTCATTTGCGTTGTCCTGGTTGTTATTGTTGTTGTTGTTGCCATTGTTCTGGTTGTTCTGGTTGTTGTTATTGTTGTTCGCGTTGCCATTGTTGGCATCAGCCGCGGCATCGTCCGCAGCGGCGTTGTCCTGGTTGTTGTTATTGTTGTTCTGGCCGGCGTTGGCGTTGCCGGCATTGGCATTGTTGTTGCCGGCGTTGTTGCCGGCTCCGTTTTGGCCGGCGTTCTGACCTCTGTTGCCGCCGCCGCCGCCGCCGCCGCCGCCGCCACCGCCGCCCCCACGGCCAGCTCCTCCAGCACCGCCAGCACCAGCAGCACCGGCTCCGGCTCCGGCACCAGCACCACCACCGCCGCCGCCTCCTCGGCCGCCGCCACCGCCTGCACCACCTACGGCACCTCTACCACCACCGCCACCACCACGGCCACCTCCGAAGCCGCCGCCGCCGCCACCGAATTGAGGAGCAGGTGCTGTACGGAATCCATGTCAGTCTTGCAAAGTCTCTCTTGAGAGGAGGATGTATAGGGGAATGCTGAGCGAATGACTTACCAGTCAAGGCATTGCCTGTGAGAAGACCAATAACAAGGAGAGTGATGGTTGTGTAACGCATCTTGAGATATGCGCCGCTTTCCTATAGATACCTAGGAAAAAAGGAGGAGGATAATAGGAAGGTTGGATAAAGATGGGATTGGCCGAATCGAAAAAGTGCACAGCACTGGAATGAAGGTTACAAACAAGAAAGAGAGCACCGACTTGGATCACACAGTGACTGAGGAGGGAAAGGAAATGATCATGCTCAGCTCGAAGAATGGTCCCGATCCTTATACTTCCCGTCCATTTCGCCCACAAGTGCTGTCCCATCAGAGGGGCCAACAAGAAGTTCACCAGCCCAAGCAAGAGCGTCAATCGCTCACGCCCAGGAGACCAGACGGCTGGGCGTCAGACATCCGATCTTGGCCAATACCAACGACAAGCATTCCGCTACATCGGAAGTTTAGATGGCATGCCCGTCGTCCGGAAAATCTCAAACACGAGCAAGGGGTTTCTTCTTCTTCTTCCGCCCCTTGTTGGATGGAGACACCTACCTCGTCTCCCCTGGCCGGGTGTGATGGAAAACCTTGAATACCTTAAAGGTACTCCGTAACAAGGCAAACAATTTGAACGAACCAATCCGGAGCCACCGAATCTCACGCGACCAGCCTTGTCGGACCCCCCTTGATGAGGCGTCTATAAGCTTCAATTCATGGCTATTTTTCTGGGGAGAAAGAAGGCGAACCCGGACCCGCCCACCGTCGGCCGGGTGTTGAACGTGCAGCGGGACATGTTTTGGAAACCCATGTCTACCGAGCCGCCCAGGCCTCCAGATGCGGTGGGCGGGAGCAAGGAGTCGAATCACGGATGCGCTGGCTCCTGAGGAGAGGCGGAAAATGGGGAGAGAGAGCTCTCTTCCTGGAGTACTGACTCTTGAGAGAGAGAGCCTCACGGTTCTCTGACGTTACTTCGCTCCTTAGCCCCCCGCATTTTCCCCTGTTTCGACTGAGCTGTGACAGCTGAGCCAGAGGCGTTGCGTAGTCCGATCTACACGTAATGTGGGTGCTGCCCGGGGGCGCCTATTGTGGTTTGTCGCGGGTCTGGAAGATCTCGACTTGGCTTGTATGAAGATGCGAATGGAATATGTCGTGCAAGCCGGGGCTAGTTAGGAAATGGTATGGATGACGAGTTTGCGCTCATGAACGCTCTCTCAGTGGCTAGGCGTGAAACTTTACATAAATGCCGCTGCCAGAAACAGCAGAATGACGGACAGCGTGTTATATCCGTACGTTAGTTTCCCATTCGTTCCGGAGGTTGTGATGCAAGGCAGAAGTTCTCAATTTTATTTTGTTCCATGTCGCTGTGATGAATGAAGGCTCACGACGTTGCCGGCAAAGAGCACGGGCCAAACGGATACGAAGTCTAAAACGGTCAATTTATCATCAGAGCAAACGGGAGAGAAAAAAAGTAAACAAAACGTATGCAAAACTTTACCACTCAAAACCTGTATGCTGGCTGCTGGCCATCACAAACAAAGCGATCCGGATGTCAATAGATACAAAACTCAAAAAGAAACATGCGGCCAGTGTGGATTGAACACACGACCTTCAGATTAAGTGATTGAAGTTGACTTCAGTCTGACGCTCTCCCAACTGAGCTATGTCCGCCGCTAATGAAAATTTCGCTCCCGTAGGTTATACTTAGCTCTTGGCATAGAACTCCCAGCGATGATGGCCCCACCGCGGTTGGCAGTCCCGCAGTCGAGTCGGGAAGAAACGAGGCCGAAAGCTCGCGTCTCACAAGGCCGGTCCGATGTCTTCTGCTGAGCACGTTAGCATGAGACGATCAGAGGCCGTGTTCTCTGAGAATTACAAGCTTGCCATCGTTCTCTCTTCACGGTTGACCCCAGCACCCCTAGTGCGTGGTGGTGGAAAACAGGAAGGAGCCACGCCCCTCGGAAAGGGACGAGATGCCGTAAAGTTACCTGTCGCCTGGCCGGTGCTTCCACCTTGGGATCCGTCAAAGGATACCGAATGCAGGTACCTCAATTCAGGTTCCTAGATGTACCTAAGATGGCACTGGAAAATGGAAGCCACGACCGTCCTGGCCTGAATTGGAATGATTACATTATCATTTGATGACTACCTCAGGAACCAAACTCCACTTCAAACATCGCTCCGTTCGCCATTCTGTTTCCCCAACCAGCATTAAATGATCCAACAAAGGAAAAAAACCCAAGCAATAATTCCGCCCTCCGTCCTCAAACTCCAGGTTCCCGAGATGTACCCTGTCTCTTGGTGTGTCTTTTGTACTGCGGCGGCGTGATGGGATGCACCAATTGCTAACACCTTCCTAGAAGTCTAGATGAACCCTACTCGGAATTCATCTGCAATACCAGTCGGGGCCCTTAGTCCAAAGTCTGGCCGTCTCGCGTCACCTCGTTCACGAGGCGGAGGAAGCACTGGAGGTGGACTCATTTGCTGAGCCTCTGCCTTTTCTTTCGGCGTCTGCGGTCTCTGGCTTCCGAACGTTGGGCTTGCCAACGGGCTCGGCAACGGCCAGTTCGCGTCGTTGGAGGCCTCGGGAATCAAGCTGTTCGGCGTGGGCGGCTGCGGCGACTGCATGCGAGGTGACACCATTGCGAAGTTTCCGTGGTGGACGTCCCGATCATCCCAGCTAGGAGGCTGATATTGCTGCGGGTTTGACGCCTTGCGCTGAAGCTCAACGGGCGGCGGAGGCTGTCGACGGTTTGCAGGTGTGACACCGTAGTTCCGCTCGCCCTCACCTGGCGCGACCCGTCTCGAGGTCGGCGGGGGTCCAAGGTATCCCTGTGGAGGGGAAGGAAGATCATCGCGAGATCGGCCACCAGAGTCTTTCCTCTCTCTGAGTTCTGGACCTTGTCGTTCACGGCTATCGTACTGGACACGCTCCCCGTCTCTGGTCGGAGAGACCATTTCTCGAGCATCCGAATCCTGACGCTGTCTCGCAGGGGGCCAATCGTCCAGAGGCCGGGCAGGACTCCGCAGCGGTCCTTCATATGGTACCTGCTGCGGTCTGGGGGGCGGCAAGCCAGCACTCCTGGGAGGTTCCGGCAGGATTTTCATTTCTGGCGGGCGCGGTCGCCTGGCACTTCTTGGCGGTGGGCTAACTGGTATAACAGGACTTATCGGAATAATTGGGCTTTCCCGCTCTAGTGTTCGTCCTCGTTCCGCCATACCAAAGTCGAGTCCGGTAGGATCATTGTCGATATCCATGGAGAAGCTCTGCCTTCTTGGGGTGGTGATAGTGAGGGTGTCCCTCTTCGCGGCAACATTCTGGATGATTGGCCTGGGATAGAAATGATCCTCGTCGCTGGAACGTCCTGCCGACGCGGTTGGGGACGGGAGTGCGGCCGGCCGCGGCCTGTGAGCTTCACGAACAGCAGTTACTGCTGTCTTCGGTCTGAGATCTGTCCTCAATGGCGGGAGCGAACCATTGATGGATTGAGGAGGCGAAGGTAAGGCCTTGTTGGGCGACAACGGAGCTGGAGTCAGTTTGTCATCTTTCGACGACTCTGACGGGTTCAGGTTGAATTCGAACTGCCCAAGTGGGCTTCGAGGTGCGTTGGCTGCGGTCGGTGTAGGCAGAGGCGATATATTGTTCGGAGAGTGATAACCGCTTGGTGCAGCACTCGGTGCCGGGCTGAGAGCTCCATCGCTCCTAGGGCCAGCACCATCACGAGCAAAGTGGACGTCGAGAGGGTTGACCCAAGCCTTGGCCCGGGCCGAGTTTGGTGTTCCTGGTCTGCTTCCTGATCCATTGCCACCGGTGATGATCGGTGGAGATGCGATGTTGTTCAAGCTGGTCACAGAAGTGTTGTTCCAACGCATATTCAAATTTGCCTCAGATCCAACAGGCCGAATACCCTTGACGCCGGGTGCACCCAGATCGACTAGGGAAGATGAGCCGCCATTGAGGTACGGCGCATTCGGATGACGGAAGTTGGCGGCGAAACTTTTGTTCGACATGGCTGTGCCGGGGCGAGATCCGTTGATGAGAATGGGACGGTCCAGATCTTTTCCGAAGAATTGCCCTTGACCAAGCGTGTTTTGGTCAATTTTCTTCCATTGAGGCTTCATCTCAGCCTTCTCAGCAGGTTTCCTTCACAGAGTCAGTTTGCAGATCCACGACAGAGGGCTGGGAGCGCACTTTTTCTTATCGGCCCCGAGTTTCAGCCCGAAAAAAGACACCATGGTTGCGTTATGAAGAGGGTATCAAGAAACTACGTTGGTTAGTCGGATCGACCTTCGAAGCGAGATGGAGGGGTTGGTGAGGGGCATACAGAACAAAAGAAGGACATAAAAAAGCTGTGAGCTATGCACAGAGAGTGATAGAATGGGCCCAATCCCGGCAATAGACGTCCAGGTCAACAATCGAACGAGTATGGCTATGCGAAATGAAGGAAGAACCAGTTCGAGGGAATTGAACAATTGGTGAAAAGTGCTTGCCACGGCTCCAACGTCGAGCACTCGGAGGCGTAGAAGGCGACCGAGCAGGAACAATGGTGTCGTGAAAAGAGAGGAAGAGCGGCAGTGGTTATTGCATACGTGCCATGTCGCGTCTTTTCCGAATGAAAGTGCTCAAGTTGTGGAGGCAGCGTTGGGTGATGGACAAGGGCGACGATCCTTATTCGCGGCCCCAAGCAATTGATCCGTCACAAGATCAGGGGCCCAGCAGTAATAACGTCCCGAAGAGGGAGGCCAGGATGGGCGAGCTGCCCAGATCAGTGACAGGGCAGAGCTCCGGTGGAGTGGATTCTGGATCGAGACAAGGTTGAGAGAGGGCTTGAGTTTTTGAGCGGAAAAGCAACAAGTGTGGTGAGTCTCTTCTTGGCGGGATGTATGTGATAAAGAGCGATGAGACTGATAACGATCCCTTGCAAAACAAGTCTACAATAGCTACCAGCAAGGAGTCGAGAAAGAGCGAAGAAATGGTGGAAGTTTGTGAAGGGCTGAGACGAGGAACGACGGGAAACAAAAGTCTAAGGAAACGAACCTGCGATGGGGACCTTAACCGGAGCAGACCGAGCTATTGCGACGT